AAAAAAAGAGTTAAGTATCAAAAGAAAGTAAAATAATAAAAAACGTAAATGAGTGAATACAAATGGATTAGTTAAGTACAAACATATTAAATGCATTGTGATTTAATATTAAAAAAAACAAACAATTTTGCATACAAGAAAATACTGAATAAAACTAGAAAGATTACAAATGATAATGCAAATGAAACTAGAAATTACCATTTTGAGGAGGCTTCTTCTGGCTTGACTTATTTGAGGAGACGCTCTTTGTAGTCTTGACACCTGTCTCAGCAATAGGATTTAATGCATTATCAAACCCTTTGGAGTGAATATGATTGCTTTGGCATCAAGGAGGTCCTGAACGCTGTTTTTCAATGCCCTGTAATTCTCAATTGTATGGCCTGGAGCCCCTGAATAGAATTCACAACAAGCACTGGCATCATAACCTCTAGGGAGATGGTTTAGAGGAGGTCCAAGCTCTCTCAGCTGGACTAATTGGCCTTTTAACAAATGAGGGAGGAGTTCAGCATAAAGCATAGGTATAGGATCCATCCTTCTTTCAGAAACTTTCTTCCTATTTTGTCCTTGTTACCCTTGGGGTTGTTGATTTAACTGAAAAGGCTCATATCTTGTTTGATGAACATACGAATTTCTCTGTAGGCACTTCTGAGGGATTGATTGATGCCTATCCACCCTAGGTTGTTGAGCCGAAATTGTAGCATATGCTTGAGGAACATATTGATTAGGACAAACAACCGATGCTTGACGGTGCAGAACTTGATCTTGCTGATAGACCTGGGTCTTCCCTTTATTGATAGTAGCACTAGTCTCTCCTTCTTGATTCTTGATAAGGCCAAAACAAGGTTTCTTGTTACTTCCACTGATAGCACTAGATATACCTTGAATTTTTCCTGACTTAAGGCCATCTTCAATATATTCCCCAATGGTAACCAAGTCAGAAAAGGAAGTCGAAATACTACAAAGTATGTGTTGGAGATATGGGTCTTTCAAGGTGCCCATGAACAAATAAGTCAATTCACGATCCAAGAGAGGAGGTTGAACCCTTGCAGCTAACCCATGCCACCTATGGGCGTACTCTTTAAAGGACTCTTCTGATTTTGGTGTCATCCCTTGAAGCTGAGTGCGACTAGGAGCCATGGCGGTATTATAATGGTAATGTTTCAAAAAGGAATCAGCAAGCTCTCCCTGAGTACTGATATGAGTTCTCTCTAATTGCATATACCAGTCTAATGGTTCCCCTGTCAAGCTGTCTTGGAAGAAATGCATGAGCAACAATTCATTTTCAGCGCAAGTTGCCATCTTGCACAGTAAGAACAAAGATGAGTCTCTGGGCAGGAGGTGCCTTTATACTTGTCAAAATCAGGAACCTTGAACTTGGGAGGAATAACTACCCCAGGCACGAGGCACATTGCAGCAGTATTAAATCCTAAAGACTTGATACCTTCCATAGCTTTGAGATGCTCTTCAAAAGCATGGTACATTTTTGCACGGTAGGAACGTAGGGAAGTCATCTTTGCTGTTCACTGAAGTCATATTGAAAAGGGACTCCAATAAGTTTTTGTTATGAATAATGAAAGCATGATAATATAAATGCATGTTTCATCTTCACTTCCAAGGAAATCCAAAGACTCTTCCATCTTTTAACAATTTTTTTTTCATTTTTGAGGAACTCAACCAACAAGACTTGTCTTTGGAATTCCTTGGATATGAGATGCAGATACATGATGGTATGATGTCATGGTATGCTATGGCATGAGATCTCAGCTCCACATATTCTGGATAACCACTGTGTAGTCCTTTTCATAAAATGAAAGTAACAGGATCAAAGGTCCGACATCACAAGCATGAAGTCAAGGTAACCACCCATAAGGTATGTACTAGGGGTTTATCACCTGCCGAACAAGGTTCTAGGGAAATCTCAGAGTCTATGCTCTTCCTTTGGATATTACCAACATCTCAATTACTCAATAATTAGTAATATTCGTAGGAAAGACCCGTCCGAGTGTAGCATCGCGTGACAACTACTTCCGGATTACTCCATCATAGTCTCCACACTAACCTAAAAAGGCCAGGATGAGTTAATGGTTCTACGGCTCTCAGCTTCTCTGGCTCCCAGGTCAAAAGAAGCAATGTCTTCTCGATTACTCGGTAAACAATGCTACATTCAAAGGGACCTCTACTGAGTAGGGGATCTCATGCCTCCTTATTCGGGATTACTCCCCCAAAGTTAACATAACTATATCGCCCGTCCTAATCCTAAGTGTAACTCGAAGTCCGGGTATAGGACTTATCAAATGTAATCACCCACTCCAACATTACAAAAGATACAACATATCCATAATATGTGAGTAGCAACAGTATAATGAAATATATACAAAAATAAATAAAGAAATAAATAGGTAAAGCAAATAAAGTAAATAAATAAACACCCAAAGAAACAAATAAACAAAACTAGGATTGACTTGCAAAAATCTCCAGCAGAGTCGCCAGCTGAAGCGACTGGAAAAAAACCAAGAGCCACCACCAAATTTTATTTATCCCGAAGTAAGGGAAAATATCGAGAAAACCTCAAGAGGAATGGATAAGATGGTCTTGCAACCAAAGAGAGGGTACGAAAGTCGATTATACGAGGGGAAGGTATTAGGACCCCTCAAATCCGTTGTACTCAACGAGATCCATTTTAATTATTTGCTTCTAAGGGTGTGTCTATCTATAACTATAATTGCTAAGGGGAATGAAATGGTTTTTTATTAGTGCGTTCATGAGGGCCTCGCAACCCTTTTACTTCGTACCCCGTGAAGGAATCAAAACACCGTAGTTCTTCTAAAAAATGTTGGTTTGTTGGTGTTTTTAGTTGGCGACGTTAACACACACATTCTAGCAATAGGCACGATTGGGTATCGCGGTAGAACGGAGATAACATGCCCTTTTGAGGATATATTTGATTTGTTGAATGTTTTGTTAAGTTTGAATAGTGATTAAGTTTTTTTTTGATTTTTTGATTAAAGAGAGAAAGTTTTAATTTTAATTAGGGAATATGCAATGCAAAAGAAAATTCTAAGGGGAAATTCCACCCAAATGTTGTCATGTACAAAGATGGACCTAATGTTGAGTGTAAAAGGGAAATTCTATCCTAAAGTTATCATACAAAGTTTGATCCTAATGTCTAATTCAACATGAAATGATCAACATGAATTTAATCGATTCGGGAAATCACTTAAGGGAACATGTAATCAAGATTAACCAAGTAATCAAACAAAAACAAAGAAATTAACTTCTTAATATTTTTTATGATTTTTATCAAGTAAATAAAATAAAATAATACTATAATATTTTTATGATATTTTGTGAAAATAAATATTAAAACCTATTTCTAAATTATTATGAATTGCGAACTGGATGAATTCTAAAAAGGGAATAAAAAATTCCGATACTACTATATTCTAATATATTTTTATTTTTTAGTAAAGAAATAATTAAAAAAAATTAAAATTCTAATCTAATATTTTTGGTATTTTTCTTGTGAATTTTTGGGTGAAATAAGAATAAATAAACTTAAAGCTAAAAAGGACGAGGGCCAAGGATCGAACTCAGTTCCTCTAGGTTGCAACCAATCAACCTTAGCACTAAACCATAATTGGTTTTTTGTTGTATATACACCTTTAATTAAAAATAAAATAAAACAGTTTGGGTTAAAAGGGAATAAAAAAGCAGAATAATGGTAAATGTGTCCCAGGGGGAACCCTGGACCTCACGGATACAAACACACACGCTAACCACTGCACCAAGACTTTTCATTCGTTTATTCTATGCTTCAATTAAGATAAAAAATGAAACTTACAAAATGGGTTGGGCTAAAAAAATTAAGCCCAAACCCGGATCTGTTAGAGAAAACGAAGGGTTTTGAAACCCTAATCTAAAGGGATGGGGCGCCGCTGGTGTAGGGTAGAGGAAAAGTTATCATTGATTAAAATTAAAATTTTCCCCATTAAACCAACAATTAAAATAAAAAAAATATAATCCTTCTCTCTTCCTCACGATCAAACCCCAACCTTCTCTCTTTTAATCACTCCTCTTCTCTCTCAATAACCCTCTGTTCATCCTCTTCCTCTATTCCCTTAGACGAACCAAAACAACAACCTCATCATCTCTCAATCATTGTCCTCCACTCTCTCGTGTCATTCTATTTTTTCTTCGCGATGTCGTCTCAACACCTTCATTTGCCTCTAATTTCGCTTCATCTCTGATTCATACTTCTCATATCAGTGTTTCACCCACCATTTCTATTATCGCTCATCATCATTCAATTCTTGCTCATCTTCGAACTCACAAGGTTTCACTATGGCATAAGGAAAGGTGAACGAATAAAGTAAAGTAAAGAGAAGATATAAACACCTACCTATCAGAGAACTCCGGGGGCTCTCCAACAACTCAGGTATGCGTTCATCCTTAATTTTTCTTCTTCTTTCTTCCAAGTACTATGTATTTTCGTCTTCCTTTTACTTCTCATCAGATTTCGTATGTTTCTTGTGCGTGTGTGATTAGTGCATCATGGATTTGTTGTTGAGGCGATGATGTTGCTTGTTATGCTCAAAGCTAGTCCGAGAGGTTCGATTCCAGCCACGTATCAAGAAAACCAGAGGTAAATAATGCTCTTTAACCCTTTCTAAATCTTCTGAGAAATTCTATTTCTGTAGTATGTTGTATCGCTCCTGGGAATTTCTGGAAATTGGAGGAAGCTTGATTGGTGGGGGAAGCTCTCGTATCAATTTCACAGTAGTCCTTCTATTCTTCTTTTATTAAGGTCATGCTCTATTTTGATCCATGTTGTTGTATGTATGTTGTTGCAGATCTGTGAGTGTCTAGAAGACGTTGTTGTTCTTGTATGTTGATGATTCTAGAAGACGTAATTTGTAGATTTGAGGAGTGAAGTTTAAGGTGTGAGCAACGGGGAGGTTTTGAAGTAAGTTGTAGTGTATGGTGGATATTTTGACAGAAGTATGTGTATGTGGGACAAAAGTATGCTATTTTATAGCTTTTTTATGCAAGTTTCCGTTCTTATCATTTTTGTGCAATGTTGCAGCAGGTTGAATTAATGTATAGGGCTGGTTCTTTGCAGGTTTTTGGAGTGGAGTAACAGCTTGTCTTGGCAGGTTTAACATCAACTTGGTTTTGGGACAACAACTTTTAGGGTGTGCAGGATGTTTTGTTTTGATTTGGCTTGTTGCAACAGGCTGTTTTGTTTTGATTTTGCTTGTTGCAGTAGGCTGTTTTACTTTGATAGCAGGGGCAGGTTTTGGATTGTTGTGGAAAGGATATTTTGTTTTTTATTAGGCTTGTTGTAGTAGGATGTTTTGTTTTGACAGTTGGGGTAGGTTTTGTACATAACATCATAGTAACAGGGCCATGTTTTTCTCTTGTGATATCGTTTTGATCTTGGCCTTTCTTGTTTTCTTTGAAAATTCTATGGCTGGTATCTTTTTCTTATTTATGAATCTGAATGGTTTTTGTGGCATTAAGGAAGATGATGAATAGGTCTAGGGTTTGCCTCGCATGTGCTCTTCATTCGAGTTTTTGCAATCTAATGTTTGTTTGACATGTTCTAAACTTTGTTGTTGGTCCGGACAATTGTAATTTCAATACTTTCTACTTCTGTGACGCTTTGTTTTTTTTCATTGAAGGTTTTGCGGTAACTCGTCTCTTCTTATTGTGAACCAAACTAGTTTTTGTGATTTCCAATAGGATTATTCTAGGGCCAATGATAAAATCTGATTTTGTTTGCAAGATAATGAGGTCTTTGTTTGGCATATGATTGAATTTAAACCCTTATTTCTGATTCCTTCATAAAATACCTAATGATGAATTACGAAATACTTACTTGGAAGCTTTCTTGTCCATGACTCATTGATTGAACTTGAACTAACTATCTCCTTGTTTGTTTTTTCATGTAACATTAATGGAGGAGCTTGCAAGAGCATAGAGGAAGACTTGAAGAAGAAGTTATAACAAGGCGTGAGAACAAGGCGCTTGAAGATGGAGCAACAAGATTAAAGAATAATTATCTTTTCTTTGTATCTTTAGAACAAATAAGAAACTTGTAACTCACGTTTCAAATTTGTAATTGAACTTTGTACGACTTAAAGACTTAGAACTATGAAACTCACATTCTTCTTGTAAATTGAACAATCTTGAGAATTTTAGGCCATGTTCATATGGGAAATTCTTGTAAATTAGTGAAGCATTTGACCTTTGGAACTTTAATTATACTTTGTAATTTGAAACCTCTTGAATGTTGAATTGGTAATCATGATGTTCAAAGAAAATTCAAAAGTTCCATCTTGTTTGGAAAAAATAACAAAGTGATGTCTTGAAAGAATGAGAAACTTAGGCATTCTTGCATTTTCCATGACAAAACTTGAAAACTAGGCCATAGAGACTTGAATCATACTTGTATCTTGAAAACAAATCTTGGAACAACAACTTGCCAAATTATGAAATTAAGTTCTATATGAAAAACCATTTGAGTGAAGATTTAATGGAAGTCAAAGTTTGAATCTTCGTGATTCCCTATAGTTATTTAAAGATTCAATGATGAAAACTGTGATACGGTGGGAGAACTGGCTTGATTGTTTTGCGTTTGGTCGCAAATGCTGTGGTTAGCAAGAGTCGCCACTGACTTTTCTTTTATCCAAAAGGAAAGGTGAAAAAGGCACAGGAAAGACCTTTGAGATTATTTCTTGAGTTCGGGGGGGTAGATTATGAAAAGGGAAGGTATTAGCACCCTTTTCATCCATGGTTTTCCATGGGCTCTTAGTTATTTGCTAGATCACTTTCTTTTTTTGTTTGAAATTATGCTCTGTGTGGTTTTTGAAAGTATTTTGTAAAGAGACCATCATTTAGGCAATCTTTGTAATGATTCTAGTTCGTAAGAATGTATACAAAGATGTTTGATCTTTTGAAAATGTTTTCAAGTTTGTAAGAGGTTTTGAAAGTGTAGGTGTTTGTTTTGAAAATATCAAGGATGTTTTGAAATTTAGCAAGTAATTAGGAGCATTCTACCTACTCAAAAGTCTTTCATGTTCATTTCCTTTCTCTTTTGACATTGTTATCTTACCATTGCTTTGGTAAGTAACCCTATCTTTGGATGTAAACGGGACGGGCGTGAGTCATCGTATAACCATGATTAACAATGTTGCAAGGTATCTTAGCATTATCTTTTAGGGACTAAGATCATTTGAAAGGAAACATAGATAGCGTTATCGAGAGACTATGATCTTGTATTTTGCTTTGTTTTTGCTAAGATACCTCACATGCGTAATATGACCATTTTGTAAAGGCAACCAAGTGGGTTTACCCTAGGGGGTGCTTGTGTGCAAGTGTATTATTTTTCATGCTTGATTTTGTCTTTGATTAGGGCTTTCTATTTGATTGGTTATAGTCTTTCCATACAAATCCTAATTACTAGCAATTGTATATAAAGCGATAAATTGCGGAATTTAAAATTACTACGCTATTACAATAATTGTGGGAGGTGTATAAATTATAAATGGGGATTGCAAGAAAATAAACCTAATTAATCTATTACAACCATATTGAATTTGTACAAGAATTGAAATAAATAATGTACATAATGAATAAATATACAAGAATGCAAATGTGAAGAAAATGGATATTTTTGTTTGGATTTTTTAGGAAAAGGGAATTTGCTTTAACCTAATTAATTAAAAGAAAATAATTAATTAAAACGTAAAACCTAAATTTACTAAGAAAAGATTTTAAATGAAACCCTAAATCTATTAATTGATTAAAAAGAAATTAAGTTTAAGAAAAATAGTTTTTTTGTATTTTTGTCTTGAAAATAATTTATAGTATTATAAAATATTTTTTGCCCTTTTTTTATATTAAAATAATATATTTTAATTGGTGTAAAAGAAAATAAATAAAACCTAGTTTTATATTTAATTTACGAAACAATTAGTCAAAATAAAATAAAGTATGATTAAATAAAATAATTTTTGTGTGAGAAAAAATAAATAAACTATGTTAAAATATAAATCTACTATTTTTATATTTATTATGATTTTGTAGTATTAGAAAAATAATTAAGAAAATAAATAAAATGAAAATAAGAAAAGAAAATAAAATGGGCCAGGGGTTGTATAAGTGAAACAGGGGGTTAGAAAGTAAAAACAAAAACAACAAGGCCCAAGGAGGCCTAGCGCATGCCAAAAAAAGAGTCAGAATGTATGGAAAAAATGGAAAAAATCAAAAGGGTACCGCTGGGGCTCGAACCTAGGTCCCTCTGGATACAGGCGTGCGCTTCTACAACTCGGGTGGCTATACATCCGTTTATATAAATCAAACCATAAATATATATGGTAAACACGTTCCTGAGGCCAACTTCATCTTCAACCTCACGCCCAGCCAGAAGTTCTGTAACTCAATTAATCCTCAACAAAAATGAAAACTGTAAACATGAAACTTATAGCAAATTTCCTCACGATTTTAGAAATGCAAAGAAAAGTAATTATAGCTCAAAGATAAACATGAATTTTAATGGCCCTATTTTAAACCCTAAAAATCTCATAAATTTCAATCTTAAAATTCTCTAAGCTCAAGAAAAATTAATGAAAACTATGAACATGATTAGCTTTAGGGCAATGATATCTACATGTTTCATTCACAAATAAATCATTGATGACGCCTGTATGAAAAGTTCCAAAGTTAGAAAACTTACCTTGCAAGAGGGTATCGGGTTTGGAGTTTGAGAAGCTTTCAGTGAGTTCCAATGATTGGGTTAGCTTCCTCACGTTCCCAGGAAGCTAATGGGATGCTTAGCTTAAGCTGAAAGTGCCTGAGGAGTTCTGGAGAAGTCCAAGTGCAAAGCTCTGTGTTTGAAAATGGTGGATGATGATGGAGGTGTTACAGTGGTGTTGTAGGTGCTGGGATTGTTTATGTATGTTGTTTAGAAGCTTTTGAAAGTAAAAGGCCAAGAAACACACGAGTAGATTTGAAGATTGGCTTCAAAACTCAGAAATGACAAGTTTTGAAGTGTTTTTGGTGATTCTGTGTTCTAGGTGTTTTCAGGGCTTAAGCATGCGTCTGTTTTGTGGAAAATGGTTTGTGTATGTATAAGAAAAAGGGTTGGAGTGGTTTCGAAAGTCAGTAGTACAAGTTACAAGCTATTTTCTAGGTTACTTGATTTGGAAAAAAAGTGGGAAAAAAAGTTTCAAGAGGAGGTACAAGCATGGGCTGAGTGATTGTAAGTGTATAACTAGTTTCTCATGTGTTATAAGACATGTATGATCATAAAAGAGCAATTGCAAAGCAAAAGAACAAGTTTTGTGCAAAAAGTCACTTTATCAAAATGGAAATGTGCACTTTCTTCCCAAAATGGATATAAAGCATGGCCTTGCGTTGAATGCTTGAGATGAGACCTCTAATAGCTGTGCAAGCAATTAATTATGGAGTGCCTAACAAGTTTGAGGCCTTCAAAGTAGAGGTTATACAGCATAACTTTGAATTTGAATTTTGTTCATCACAAAATGACTTGTAATTTAAGTGATGAAACCCTAACTTCATCTCTTCGATTCTCCATACTCAAAAATTATCTCAAGGAGTTCTTAGATATTTTGGAAATCTTGCAATGTGCTCTACAACCCATATTTAATTACTTTTGAATATTCCCCTTGGAACTATATGAAAAAGTGCCATGAAGTTAGGTCAAAATCCTGACCAAATTAGGGCTAAAATTTCACTAAGTGTTTTGTTTCATGACCATGTATTATTAAAATTATAACTTGAGATATAAACACTTTTGGAAGGATTTGTGTAAAGAAAAGTTGTAGATTTCATGGAGATCTACAACTTTCATGTTGGAAGTTTCTTCTGAATCATCTTGCATCATGGTGAAAATTGTGCTCAAAGTTATGAAAAACTAAGAAATTTCCAACACTTAGAAAAGTTTCTAAGTTTAGAAATTTTCACTTTTCAAAATGAAATTTTGAATTTTGGAATTCTTAATGATTAAGTTTCATATTTTTACATGCTTTGATGAATTGTGATCTTTGGCATTTGATTTTGACCAAAAAGTCAAAGTTTGACTTTTCAGTATACAGTTGAATTTTGATCAGTTGATTGAAAACTTTATCTATCAATCCATTGGACTTGCAATGTTTTGAGCCATGTCATTAGGTAAAAATGATTAAATTGTACTCTTTAGATGATTCCTTAAACCAATTGATTATTTGCTAGGTCAAAAATAAAAAATTTCCCTTTCCCAGTCAAAACCCAAATTTTGACCATTTTGCCCTTTTGAAGATTTGATCAAATTT